TTCTCGATTGTTTGCACCCAATCATCATGCCTCCTAAGAAATCCCAAACCATCACTAACGACGATTATATCGACATTAAGTCAGAACTACGAAAGTTAAACGAAACGCTAACCTCGCAACTGGCTGAGATCAAATCTGGCCAAGATGAGCTAACTAGGTCTGTTGAGTTCTTCAGCGGGAGAGTAGACGAACTGACAAACGACATTAAGATGCTGAAGGACGACAACAAGTCTGTAAAAAAGGAAAACGCGGATCTAAAGCAAAAGTTGTCAGCACTAGAGAATCAAGTGAATGACCTTGATCAGTATCATCGGAGAATTAATCTGGAAGTGGCGGGTGTATCAGAACAGGAAGGCGAAAATGTGAGGGAGTCGGTATTGAAAGTTTTGAAGGTGGTCGCACCAGAGGTGAACTACACCGACATTGATGTATCCCATCGTCTAGGCCGCAAGAGGGAAGGTGTTTCTGGTTCGAGTTCAAGACCAATCATAGTACGATTTACAACCAGGAGGGTGAGAGATGAAGTGTATGCTGGTCGAAAGAAGCTGCGGGAGACAACTACTCGGGAGCTGGGCTTCTCAAGAGATGAGAGGATGATGTTCATCAACGAAAATCTTGCCCCGGCAACGAGGTCACTACTGAGGAAGGTGAATGAGGAAAGGAAGAAGGCTGGCTGGAAATTCCTGTGGACTGTAAATGGCACCATCCTGGTGAGGAAGAACCCCAATATGCCACCGATAGCCATCCATCGAGAAGAGGATCTCAACAAATTAAGTAGGGCCTAGTATGCTTCTGCCTTGTTGTACATTCATAATTTTATCTGTAAATAATGATTGACTTTGACACGATGACGAACATTTCCAGTGATTCTGATAATGTCACACAGGATATATTATGGATTGGATCCAAATGATAATGCTTCGGGTCTCATTTACTCAAACTATTATACTGAGTCCTCGGCCAAAAATATTTTCAAAAGTATAACTGATTCTTGCTTGTCTATATTACATCTTAATGTTAGAAGTCTCAACAAGAATTATGAACAGTTTCGTTCGTTTCTAGATAACACAGGAGTTCCCAAAAATACAGTATTAGGCGTAACTGAGACGTGGCTTTCAGATCAAAATAATACACTGTTTTCTCTCCCTGGATATGATATACTTACAAATAATCGTACAAACAAAATAGGTGGTGGTGTTGCATTCTTTGTGCCAAGTCAATTTGAATATGTTGTAATCGAAGACATGAAAGTGATGAATGAAATTGCAGAAACTTTGTTTATTGAAATTACTGATCGCAATAGAAGAAAAACTATCTTGGGAGTTGTTTATAAGCCACCTCAGAGCAACCATGCTGATTTTCTGGACACTTTGAATAATTTATTACACTATCACTCCGTTCAAAACAAAAAGTGTATCATAATGGGAGATTTCAACTATGATCTCTTAACGAGTGATGCTAATATTCATGCACATGATTTTTTAGAGACATTCCTCTCTGCCTCTTTCTTGCCACTTATTTCTAGACCCACTAGAATAACCAATACTTCGGCAACTCTTATTGACAACTTTTTTTCAAATGTACGCTCTGAATTTAAAGCTGGCATAGTTCTGTCAGATATTTCTGATCATTTCCCGATTTTCATGTATTATTCAGAACGATTTCAGGCAAATAACTCTCCTAGTGATGCACCTAAAAGACGTGTATATAATGACGAAAACCTATGTGGATTGAAACTAAGCCTAGAAGAAGAATCTTGGGATGACGTATTTAATACAGATGATGTTAACCAGTCGTATGAAATCTTTATTGGAATTTTTATGTCTCATGTAAATCGAAATATTCCTTTTTCTAAACCCAAGTCTAAAAATTATAAGAAGTCACCCAGACTACCTTGGATAACGAATTCGATTCTACGTTCAATAAATCGAAAAAATAAATTATACTATAAATATATATCTAAATTAACTGATCAAACACGGATCCAGTATACTAATTATAAGAATAAACTTACAGGAGTGATACGTACTGCTAAAAAAGATTATTATCATGATCAATTCAATCGTTGCAAAAATGATCTTAAAAGAACATGGAAGATCATCAATTCTACCATCAACAATGGATCAAAGCATTCTAAGATTACTAAGCTTAGACATAATGATGCAATAGTTGAAGATGAAGTTCAGTTGGCAGATATTTTCAACAATTATTTTTCTCAAGTTGGTTTTAATCTTGCTAGGCACATACCATCCACGTACCGTTCATTTCACCACTATTTGGGGGAGAGAAATAAAAGTTCTATATTTTTCTCTCCTACGTACCCACAAGAGATAATTCAGATTATATCTGGCCTAAAAATAAATAAGAGTGCAGGATTTGATGAAATTGATAACAACCTTTTACAGAAAACTATGAATTATATTGTTGATCCTATCGTTTATATATTTAATTTGTCATTATTATCTGGACATATTCCAGAATCAATGAAAATTTCGAAAATAATCCCAATTTTCAAAAGGGTGACAGTACATTAACAAGTAATTATAGACCAATCTCATTGCTTACAACCTTGTCTAAAATCCTTGAAAAGTTGGTCCACATACGGACCATGAGTTTCTTTAAAAAGCACAACATCCTCTCTGATACTCAATTTGGCTTCCGAGAAAAAGTAGCACTACCCATGCCATACTTTCTTTAGTTCAAACGGTTGCCAAAGCTATCGATCAGTCTTCTAATACGGTTGGTTTGTTCATAGATTTTTCTAAAGCATTTGATACTGTTGATCATGATGTACTTCTTTACAAACTTTCTCACTATGGAATTAGGGGAAAACCGTTGACGTGGTTCAAGAATTATCTTAAAGGGCGCTCCCAGTTTGTTTCGCTGAATGGTAATTTCTCTGAAAGTAAACCTGTCCTTTGCGGAGTTCCGCAAGGAAGTATTCTTGGCCCACTTTTGTTTATTATTTATATAAACGACATCGAGAGGTCATCTTGTCTGCTTCAATTTATACTTTTTGCTGACGACTCAAATATTTTTTTGTCACATCGCGATCCAGAGCAATTGACGTAAATACTAAATAACGAACTTAAAAGTGTGGCAAATTGGATAAAAGCAAACAAACTGTCACTTAACTTAGACAAAACTAGTTACATGCTATTTAGTAATAAGGTTGCAACTTTGCCTAATTGTATAATTTTTGATGGTACTGTCATTCAAAGGGCCCGAACAACTAAATTTTTGGGGCTAGTTATTGATGAAAAACTATCTTGGAAAGCGCACACTGACAATATCTGCAAAATCATTGCTCGCAACACTGGTATCCTTAGTAAATTAAGACACTTCCTACCCCATTATATTATGTTATCCTTGTATTCTACGCTTATTCTTCCTTACTTGAATTACGGACTTATTGCCTGGGGCAGTGTAGCAACTTCCCAAATTAATAGACTCTTTATATTACAAAAAAGAGCGATTCGTATTATTAATAATGCAGATTTCCGGGCACACACGAATAATCTTTTTCTGAATAATAACATTTTGAAAATTAAAGACTTGTATATTTTTCAGCTTGGACAGTTAATGTACAAGCTCAACACTAAACAATTACCTTTGCCTTTTAATGATATGTTCGTAAGAAATGATTCGATTCATAGTTACCTCACTCGCCAGGCGAGCTCTTTTCATTTACCATTAAATAGAACATCTTTTGCACAAAAGACATTTGTTTTTACAGGTCCAAAACTGTGGAATTCTCTTTCAAATGATATTATACAGTGTAATTCGATACAAATTTTCAAAAGGAGACTTAAAAGCTTTCTTCTGAATAGTTACTATGCTATTGCATTCCTCAATCAAATATAATTTGTAGTGTGACTTTATGCAACTTTGATTATTTCTTTTTATAAACATGTATGTATTTATCAATGTTTTGCGTTTAAAAGTTATTTTTTTTTGTATTACTGAATCAGTTACTGTTATTATTGTTGTTTTTGTTTTGTTTTCTCATAAAATGATAATTCATGATAATTACTTTTACAGGGGGGCTTACACCCTACAAGCTCTGCTTTTTAGTCGGCCCTCCTTCCCTTTCAATTTCATGTTTATTTTTTAATGTATTGTATTGTGCAAATTGATCTATATGTATATAAATATGTGAATATGTTAAAATATACCATCATTGTAAATATGAACGATTGAAAGAGGAAAAATAAATGAATTGAATTGAAAAGTGTTTGACAGACTTGGTTCAAACTTTCAGGAACCCTTTCTCTGATTTTCTTGTTATCACCCAATTGAACCATCTGAGAAAGGTTGGTTGTCCTTAATGTATGATGATTATTCTCTCACATCCTGAAAATATCAGCAGGAAAATTATTTCACTTTCACACGAACCACAATCTCAGATATTATAATAATGCATCAATTTGGATGGTTACAATGGAATATAATGTTATGGAGATGTATATAATTATGTATATATACTCATAATAGTCATAGGCCTATTGTATACCCCCTCCACCATCCTACCGATTCGCCACTGCTCTGTGTTGAAATACGTATGTCCATGGTTTTATGGTGCTCGATATCACGTATATACACAATGTTCGAGCCCGAGCGGGAGGATTTCGGATTGTTGTTGCATGCATGACGTTATGTCTAGTCGGTGGGGATTCCCCGATAGTGCGACCCCGCGTAAGTTGTATGCTGTCTCAGAGCACGTACTGCACGACAATCAGACGCGACGGGCAGAGCGGAAGCATTCACAGGGTAGTAGAATTTATCGCCCGAGATTGCCCGCGGGATACCGGGTACGATTCTCTCACCAAAACAGTTATTTGTATGAAGTTGGTGTTCGTGTCCTGGAACAGATGCAGATGGGATATTTGGAGGGTTTATGAATTATATGGAGAAGAATTTATCGGGCTTTCGCAGCGAAAAGATCGAACATTAAACAAGGAAGTACCAGTACAAAATACTACGTATCGCTAAAAAAAAAGATGGATTCTGCACGGCCACGGCAATCTGACAATCAAATAGGTTTGAATGTTGGCGGTAAGATCTACCTGACAACTCGGGACACCCTGACGCGGTACCCGAACAGTTTCTTTGCCATCATGCTAGACAGTGATATCCCTTCTGATAGAGATGCCCATGGGAACTACCTGATCGACCGGGATAGCAAGATATTTCGCCATGTAATGAATTTCATGAGGTGTGGCGAACTTGTGCTACCACGGGGATTTAGCGAGTTCGATTTACTGGAACGTGAAGCCGACTTCTTTTCGCTCGAGGCGCTTGAAGTGGCGCTAAGAGAAGCTGCAGGCATGTTGGTGGGGATTGCGGTTGGTACGGGTAGCACCAGGAGCACGTATATGATAACCAGAGAGGCGTTGATGAAAGAAAAGGAATCTTTCTTCACCGACATGTTGGATGGAGGGAAGCCATTTCCAAGAGACACCCAAGGCAACTACGTCATCAGTAGGAACAATAGTCTCTTCCATCATGTTGTTGACTACCTAGTACGTGGAGGAATCCTCAATGACATCACATCGAGTGAGCTGAAGCAGCTACGAAAAGAAGCCAAGTATTTTAGACTACAAATGTTGGAACAACACATCCAAAGCGTTGAGTTCTTGATGCAACTACGACTATACCGGCCAGACATTCATTTCTTTTATTCTGAGAATGGCCCGTGTGTTGCCTATTCCAGCAGACTTGTCGGTCATCGAGCCCGCTTATCCACCGAAAAGCTTTGGAAGGGATATCCAATTAATGGTGACTCCGTCTATGCTGGAGAAGTGGACCCTAAAATAATGTCCAAATTTACAAGTGCCAGCTCTGTTATGAATTTTTTCTCAAATCACTCAGCTCAATCTATTGACATGTCCGAACTAAGCTCCAATTGTACTCGAATTAATGTGAAAATATAGGAACTGAGAAAAGATCAAATATGGAGTGGTATCACAATCGGTTATCCTGAAAGCTGTAGCTCTGTCTTTGACACGTATATTTACAAGCAGGCGACCTGGGTTACCATGGTGGCCGATATAAACAACTATTTAGATTGATTTACTTAGATGTTTTATAAAACAAATAATTAATGTTTTTCATTCGTTCAATAGTGCGAATATTTTCATTTATTGAAAGATTAACGTTCTATTGAATTCATAAGCATTCATTATTGAATAATAATAATAAGAATAATAATGATAATAATAATAATAATAATAATAATAATAATGTGAATTATAATAATAGTAATAATGCTGATGATTGCAGGTGCGGAACCAGGATTTCTTAGGGGTGGGGCCCAATTTTTTATTTGTTTTGCTCCCGAACATTTGAAAATCGCGCCGGCCGAAAATGCGGTCATTATTTTTTTTGGCCCTCGAAAATTTGAAAATTTGAACCCCCCCCCCCCACCCCCTTGAGCGCCAGGGTGGGGGCCCTCTCCCTAAAAAGGTAAAATTAACGTGTTTTTACATGGTTTTTTTCTCAGGGCAGGGGGGGGGGCCGGGCCCCCCGGCCCCCCCCCCCCCCCTGGATCCGCCACTGGATGATTGTGATAATGACGATGATAATAATGACAATAATAATGACAATAATTATAATGATTATAATATTAATGATATTAATAATAATCATGATAATGATAATGCTAAAACAAGATTCATCTATAGGCGCAGTGTGTCCAATGTTATTAACCATGCATGTATGTTGTTTAATTGTTTTGTATGCTAGGTTATATGTCTATATGTTCTCTTTGAATATGATATTGATACGATTTTTAAGAAAATTTTTCCTTTGGAGATTTACTTAAAGTTGATAAATTGTTATATTTTGTGTTTGTTTAACCATGGACCCTGCACCGATGAGGCCCGAACAAAATGAAAATGCTCAGAAAAATGCATGAAAATCAGCATCACTGATCGTTGATGTACACGTACGTCTCGTATATAAACTATCATTATTCATCTGTCATCTTATGCTTTCACATGTGATGAAAGAAACAATATTATATAAAACAAACGAGGATCAATATAAGTGGAATTTTTTAAGCTGGAGGTTTGGGGCATTTATAAAATGGCTTCTATATATAATATATGTCTCTTCTCTCGGCTTAACTGATTGGGTTGTACTTGTGCAGGTGGACTAATACCCTGGGCTTCTTCCTCTTATTCGAATAGTGCATGTGGTTTTGTTTAAAGTTTCTTGTGTTTCAAATAGAAATAAAAGCACTATATAAGATTCCACTATTATTATTATTATTATTGTTATTATATGAGATGTACATGTATATCACTTTAGTCTTGGAATTGACGTTTGATGTCACCTACCTAATGAAAAGGCTCAGGATTTAATATACCAGCTTTCATATGAAATATGCTGCTGTATATATGCAATAATGATGGATTTTCTATCACAAATTTTGCCTTTTGACTTTTCTCTCATTATACAGGTAAATAGACAAACAGATCTCTAGACTGAAAACTTGTTGTATGATAGATTTGAGAATGTACGTAAAATATAATTTGTTTTAATTAAAAAACTATCATGTAAATCCCATGTCTTGAAAACAATTGTGAGTGTTGTATAATAGCAATTTTGTTTAGGAAGAATACATTTTTTATTTTAAAGAATACAGTAAGCATATTATAATATAATAAAATACATTGTAAATATGTTCATGCATACTGAAATTCACAAGGTGAAAAGAAGGGAAATTAATCATGAAACTCTCGGGTCTTGCAGTTTTAAGATTATTTGAACAGTAGCTCTGCATTCCAGCCTATTAAGCTACTTAACCCACTTGCGTCTTGTTACCAACGTGACTATTGTCAATTCTGCTATTGTAATACTGTTACATAACACAGAACCAAATATAATAATACTTGTTACTACACCTAATCACATTGTATCATCTTAACTTTGTTTACCTGACTGAAATGAACATCAGGGGCCTCCTGTATAAAATGTTTAGTGTAAGTGGGACTGAATAACATTTTAAAGCAAATCTTCAATATTCAGTTCCTGATTGGTTGATAAATTAGTTTGTGTTTAAGTTGGGGGAGTGTTTCAACTTTGATAGAGGTAGCTCTTTTTGCAGGAGACCCCAGTATCCTTCATTATAAAAGAAAGATAATTCACAGCTGGGCCCTGTTTCATGCAACTAGCTACTGTATGTCATCAGTTTAAAGCTACTAAAATCAGCAACGTTCATTAGCTGTAAGCAAATTTGGTATAGAATTGTGTCAAGTGATCTCCATACATGTAGCTAGTTGTATGAAACAGGACCCGGCAGTGATCTTCATTTTTTGCCGTTGGAGCTGTGATAGCATTAAAAAAAAAACGATTTCAGGATCTGACAAATCTTCCATGTTTCTTTCCATTATTACGCAGCTGCTTACATGTTGTATACTGTAAGTGAACATAACTATTGCAACAAAGTAAATTTAACATTCTTCAAGGGAAAATGTGTATTATATATATATATCTCTGTATTTAGCATTTCTTTAGTATTTTTTGATAAGATTATTTTCATTTGGACAAAATGACAATCGTTGGTCATAGTTTTATCTATACCTTTGCATGGAAGTGCTCTTAACAAAAATTGAATGGATTTTTTGGGGTGGAAATACTGTTGAAAATATATGGAGATTGTAGAAGATGAATTACTAATGTTGAATATATTTGTTTAAATTGAATGAATAGGAATATATAATTATTGATAATTTAACGTTATCGAATATAAATGTTAATCAATCATGGTAGACAATCCACTTGATAATAAAGAAAGAACATGATATCAAAGTAAGATTGTGCCGTGTTATTTTCTTCTTCTGCAATGATTTCAGAGTACTCCTATCGGTGATCAGTGATTTTGATCTTCTGTTTCTATCTATAATAACCTTACAGGGCAATCCAAACCTTGCAGCAAGTTGCTTGGAATGGAGGGAGGAAAATCAAGATATGAATGAAATCAGAGGGAAAAAATATTAAAGTGATATTTTTTAATTTGAAATCATTAAATGGGAATTTCATACTGGAAAATTAATAATTTCAGTGTGATGTACTGTAGTGTATGACAACTATTACATTCGGTTAAACACTGAACAACTGGAATTCAATATGTACATTTAGGCCTATATATTTTTCGAACTTAATAGCTGGGGAGAACCTGTAGCGACTTGTAGTCGATCCTGAAGGAAAGTGGAGAGTTGTCCCTTTCAGTCACACTCAACTTACCGTAGTGAGCACTTTCGATTATTGTTTCTTACTCAACAGGGTATTGTATATAATGGAGAAGAATCTATCGTGCTGTCGCAGCGAAAAGATCAACATTAAACAAGGAAGTACCAGTACAAAATGCTACCACTAAAAAGAAAGATGGATTCTGCACGGCAATCTGACAATCAAATTGGTTTGAATGTTGGCGGTAAGATCTACCTGACAACTCGGGACACCCTGACGCGGTACCCGAACAGTTTCTTTGCCATCATGCTAGACAGTGATATCCCTTCTGATAGAGATGCCCAAGGAAACTACCTGATTGACCGGGATAGCGAGATATTTCGCCATGTGCTGAATTTCATGAGGTGTGGCGAACTTGTGCTACCACGGGGATTTAACGAGTTCGATTTACTGGAACGTGAAGCCGACTTCTTTTCGCTCGAGGCGCTGGAAGTGGCGCTAAGAGAAGCTGCAGGTATGTCGGTGGCCGGTATGTCGGTGTGGATTGCGGTTGGAAAGGGCACCAGAAGCACGTATATGATGACCAGAGAGGCGTTGATGAGAGAAAAAGAGTCTTTTTTCACTGATATGTTGGATGGAGGGAAGCCAGTTCCAAGAGACACCCAAGGCAATTACGTCATCTGTAGGAACAATAGTCTATTCCATCATATTGCTGACTACCTAGTACGTGGAGGAATCCTCAATGACATCGCATCGAGTGAGCTTCGGCAGTTACGAAAAGAAGCCAAGTATTTTAGACTGCAAATGTTGGAACAACACAACCAAAGCGTGGAGTCCTTGATGCAACAACCATCCAGGCTACACTTTCATTTCTTTTACTCTGAGAATGGCCCGTGTGTTGCTTATTCCAACAGGCCACTTGTCGGTGATCTTCGAGCCCGCTTCGAAAAGTTTTGGAAGGGATATAAAATTGGTATCGAAGTCTGTGCTGGAGAAGTGGACCCTAAAACAATGTCCAAATTTACAAGTGCAAGCTCTGTTAAGGAATTTTTTCAACCCAGACATCCAACTCTATTCAAATGTCTGAACTAAGCTTCAATTGTACTCGAATTAATGTGCAAATATACTAGGACCCGAGAAAAGATCAACATGGAGTGGTATGTATATCTCAATCGGTTATCCGGAATATGTAGCTCTTAGCCCGGCACGCATGTGTATCGGATAATTTTAGATTTCATTTACCCCAGTTTGCTAAAAATGCTAATGGTTTTCTTAGCGTAATAGTTTTGTTGCAAAGTAATAATAGTACGTATATTTGTTTTAGCAGTTTGGGGTAGTTTTATACAGATTTCGCAGACTTGGCAAAAACGCCTAGGAATAACAGAGACACGTACGCACTGCAAATGCATAATGGCATTCTTATACCAGTATGTCATTATTATTATCACATATATAACATCTAAGTAGATCCTTGTCATTTGATTGGAGGATTGTTGGGTCATATGATATTCAATAAATTATCTGTTGAAAGACTACGTCATTGAGCGTGCATTTTGGGGTATAATATCATTATGCGACCCTTATTGTTTGCCGTAGTTGTGACGTTGCACTGCAGCACAACCTTTGACACGTACATTCACAAGCAGACGACCTGGGTCATCATGGCGGCCGGTATAAACAATTTAGATTTATTTACTTAGATGTTACGTAAAACAAATAATGAATGTTTTTCATTCGTTCAATAGTGCGAATATTTTCATTCGTTGACAGATTAACGTTCTACTTATCTCATAAGCATTCATTATTTGTATATAGTAATAATGAATGTAGGCCTATATGTATAATATTAATACATAAGAATATATTTTCTGTTTGATAATCGTTATCGAAGTAATTAATCATGGTAGACAATCCATTTGATAATTAAGAAAGAACATGATATCAAAGTAAGATTGTGCCGTGTTATTTTCTTCTTCTGCAATGATTTTATAGTCCTCGTACCGGTAATTAGCCTATACTAATTTTCTCCGTAACAGGTTGCCATTTTGATCTTCTGTTTCTTTCTATGATAAGTTTACAGGGCCATCTAAACCTTGCAGCAAGTTGTTTGGAAGGGAGGGAGAAAAATCAAGATGTGAATGAAATCAGAGAAAAAAATATGAAAGTGATATTTTTTATTTGAAATCATTAAATGGGAATTTCATACTAGACATTAATAATTTCAGAAAAATGTACTACATTTTAGAATAACTGTCACATTGGTAATTAACTCAAAACGACTGAAAAATGTAAATTTAGGCCTATATATTGTTTTGAACGTTATAACTGAGGAGGATCGTTAGTTTAGGGAGAACCTATAGCAAAATGTTTTAGTTGATCCTGAAGGAAAAGTTGCTGAAACTGGAATGGATGTTATTTTGATTTAGTGGAAACTTTTTATAACTAGGATATTGGGACCGTGAAAACATGAATTGTTCAAATCAGGGCCTCGTCGCATAGGCGCCGGAAGTGGGGGGGCAGGGGGGGCAGTTGCCCCCCCAGTCAAAAAAGTGGGGGGGCAAAACGCATTTTTGCCCCCCCAAAACGCCCCCCCCCCCTCCAAAAAAAAAAAAAAAAACAGTAAAGGAGTAAACATGGTTTGTATTTTTAATCCAAAAGAACGTAACAATAATAAAAACCTGAATTAAATCACATATACAATTCCATTCAAAGAAAAAGGAAAGTTCACAGGAATTAAATTTCATAAACATTGCGCATGCCACCTATACGGTATTTATCAATGGAGGTCTCTATAATAGCGATACGCGCATATCGTGGACATATTGTGCGAGAATGGGAAAGCGTGTCCGTTTTTTTGTTATAGGGGTGAGAAGACATGAGCCCCTGAACGTTGGCGTACTGATGGGGGGGGGGGGGGGGTGATGTATTTCTTATTCGAAACAAGTGATATACAAATGTTGATGTTGTGACATGATTTTCCGGCATTTTTTCTCCATTTTTTTTTGTAAGTCATACCTTCTTATGCGTTTGTTGGAAAATAAGAAATTCCCAAATTACAGTCGGGCGAAATACGCTTATTTAGAAGCCTTTATGTCATGGTCTGCAAAGTGGCTGGGCTCGAGCCCCCCCCCCCCCCCCTCCTTTTTGAAAAAGTATGTTAAAGAGAAAAAGAAAGAAAGACGGAGAAAAAATAAGTGACCTGCCAATGTCACAAATAAGGTATAAAAATGCTCATCTGACCGTAATTAAATGCTTAAAACCCCAGAGCTTACGGGGGCTCTGCCCCCGGAC